GTGGCGATCGATCGAAGTCTTGTCGACTGTCTCTTTCCTTCTGTTCCTAAATTGAAAAAAAAAGATTAGTTGGTTGTTGTATTTGAATGTGTTGTCTCATTAGAATCTGAGGTAGCCAGTGCAACTAAAGTAGGAGTAAAGACAAATAAATATCCCATTGTTATCTAAATATACAATGATTGAATTGCTCACCCGAATTCGCTGGTGCTCGTCTTGCATTACTTATAACGGTCGATTGTGTCGGAATGGCTACTAAAATAAAAAAGAAACAAATATTTACATTAACGCCAGAACACATTTCAACATTCATACTGTAAACAGTTTTTACCAGATTGTGATGATGTTGTGATAGCATTTGCTTGTGTTTGGTCACCCATTTGCGATGCATCGGCTCTGGCATTCGATTGTGATTGAACGGTATTAGCGATCGACTGTCCCATGGAAGTCCCTAAATCGAAAAAAAAATGATAATGAAACCACATAATAAAGAAATATATTTACATTGCTCACCCGTTTGAGATGCGCTGACTGCAGCATTTGCTTGTATTTGGTCACCCGTTTGCGATGCGTCGGCTCTGGCATTCGATTGTGTTACAGCTACGTTTGTTTGTGTCGAGGCGGCTATTAAATCGAAAAAAAATTTTTTTTCATTTTCGCCGAGATATATTTCAATGTTTATAATTATATTCTCACCCGATTGTGTTTGTGTTGCACTAACGTTTGCCTGTGCTGCTCCAATAGCATTTGGATTTGCGTCACCACCATCAATTGGCACAACTAAAACAAATTTTTCTTAATGCTTTCATCACAATATTTAAATTTTGTTCTAATTTTACCTGAAAACACTGTATTTTTTGTGATGAAATCCAAACACTTTTCAAACTCTTGAAAGTATGTTTCAAATAGTGACTGCGGCAAATCAATAACATTGTCGGTTATTGCATTAAGTATAGCAGACACTTTTCTGTACTTTTGATTCTTTGTCAATGCACGCGCATTTGTTGGTATTGCAACGACTTGTGTACTCGTACTTGTACTGTCAGTGAGCTCGGACAATGCTATCTTTGATAAAGTTGTTTTAAGCCATCTTTGACCACATAACACCGGATTAAACTGATTTAGTCCCTTGTTTAGCCTAAGAGCTAAAATGTGCTTGCATGGTAAATGCATAGTTTTGACGAATTTACAAGTACACTCTTTAAGGGAAGTTTCATGAAATCGTTGGTTTTGCATAAATATAAACGTCATGTACGAACGGCGCTTCGTTGGCAACTCTGGCTTCGATTTTTTCGGTGTGCGTTATTTTCCTGTAGTCTCGTTCGTCGGCCAAAGTTGACAGTACGATAATTGTTTCTTTGAACATTTGTTTCAAAGGCGCGAATCGAGTCAAAACACCTTTCAACTTTTGGTTGAAGTTTTCGGTCCTATTATTGGTCCTATTATCGAAATGCGAACCGCTGTTTACATAGCAACCTACCCACATCGGCCTAATTTCTGCCTTATGCCAATTGTCATTGAAATATTGCATGAGTTCCGCTGAAGCGATTTCTTCTAGCTGTTCATACAGTTGCAAGTATTCAACTTCAGTTTTACAATAAACCATTTTATTGAGTATCACCAATGCTTGGTTTTTAACATCCTTCGATATATTCCGTTTCTTTGTAGTTACTTCTCGAATAAAAATTTGTTTCACATGAAAAACGCATAAATTTATTTGCGCATTAGGAAATACCACGGGAAATGTTGCCAAATTACTGGCGTGTTTATCAACCATGACAGTTTCGATTTTGTCGGCATTCGGGTTTTCTTCGATGAAACATTCGAACAAGCTTTTCATAACGGTAAAATTTTCTGATCTTATGATGAACATCGCGACGATTTGTTTTTCACCCTCACCATCTGCACACATGACCACTTGTAGCGGCATATTTCTGTCGTTCACATTATATGTTGCGTCAACGAAAATTATTTCGGGATACGCTTCGAATGTGTCTTTCATCGTTGAATCTTGGAAATATATTCCTTCAACTTGTTGATTTTCGGTTATCACTTTCACCGTCGCACCATCGATTTTTTGCATTTCTTGTATTAACGCAGTGAGGTCGTCGACCTTTTCTGTATCAGCGTCTTCATTTTGTCTGATTCTAACGCGTTCGTTTTGAATGTCTTTTGCAAGCACTTTGCCACCCACACGATTTTCGTTGCTATTAATCGCATGCTGAGTTAATCGTGTATTTCCGTGCACTTTTTCGGATATTTTCACTAATGCACTGGCTTGTTTGATGCTCTCATTCCTTTGCCGTGGAAGAGAATAGTACGCTGCCTCGGACGGAGTGTGATTGGTATGCACATTAATCATTGATGTAACTTTTATGACACGTTTATTTCGTGCATTTATCACACAAGACACATCCATTCTGTATGTGCAATTGCATTTATACGAGCGCGATTCTCGTTGAGTGGCCGTTGATTTTGGGTTTCCATAATACTTGCATTTGAACACTACACTACTGTATTCGAAACGATTCACATCTTCTTGTGAAATATTTGCTCCCACTTTCAACAAATGACTGTTAGTTTTGACCAAATTAGTGAATGTTGCATTTTCATGCTTTTTTAACGCCAGCTCAAAATCTTTGAAATTGGCGAACTCGTCGCCTACTTTCAGTGTGTTTTGGTTCATGATAGAAACCAAACTGAACCGCGAATTACTTATTCAATTGCACATTGCTATCGTGAACAAATGATGAAATGAGTTCTGAGTTTGT